CAGAAAAATAATTCTACTATGAAATAAAAGATCTCCAGATAGGAGATCTTTTCAGCAACGTAGCATTTTATGCAAATTTTTTGCTTTTTCACTATCTGAAATTAAATCGAACATGCATTATTAGACTCTAAATGTTGAAAAACATAATGTTTTGTTTTCTAGAGATCTCGTATTCCAAATAAAAGTGTTTTTTTCTTGAATCTTCATAAGAAATAATTTTCTTGGTTTGAAGCACTTGTTGAGATTAGTTTTACTAGAAAGAAAAAAAATATTGAATTTCCAGAGGCGAACACAGGATAATGCTATGTCAAATAACATAATGAAAAATGAAAGAACTTCTAGATCACCATAATCAAATTTATTTCGAGAAGGAAATAAGTAGCGCAACTCAATCTCGATATTTAATTCGATGGGTCGACTCACGGCTAAATAGTTTTTTTCAGGATATCGAGATAATCTTACGAAAAACCAATAACTCCAAAATCTTTCATTGTAGAATATCAGTCCGAATTTTAAAAACTTCTTGTTGAACAGTCTTTTTGTCACATTGTCGAAGAAAAAATGAATCAACAGACCTAAATACGCAGACATTTAGCATCGTAAAAATCCGACGGAGAAAAACTAGAATGAATCTTTAACATTTCATAAAGTTTATATGACTTTCGCATTTTATAGGATATTCTGTGAAGTTTTTTTGTGACATATATGGAAGAAAATGTCTTTACTTACACGAGTTACAATTCAAACATTTTTATAAATAATTAAATTTGAGATATGTACAATTATGAAGTAAAATGTGCAAGCCATATTTTACAAAAAAAACCACCTTTTCATCGAAAGTGTCTTGGCATCGAGTATTCTATCTGTTCTAAATCTTTATTTAGTATAATACTAAATTGAAACATCGATGAATTAATTCTATACTCGTCGAACTTAACGTGTCACTTGAATTCTTTCGTCGGTTAGTTCTCGTTTCGTCGAAAGCTTAATTGATTTTCTTGTTTCGTCGAAAAATTTTTTTTCGTGTGTTCTCGTTTCGTCGAAAATTAAAATTTGAATGAAAATATGCAGAATATAATTAGCTTACTCACAATCATTTCATTTTCTTTAACAGACTAATTCAAAAAAAAATGATTCTAGATGAATCCATTAAAAAATTTATTGAGAGCATTACAAAAGTTACACACCTAATGGATTAACCTCACTAATGTCGAAAGGGAAACATGCTGAAATTTACAAACACCGAGCGGTGAAAATTTTGAGATGTTAATAATGTTGAGTCTGGGTAGGCAATGAGAAAGCTGTCACTTACGTCCTTATATATACCGAAACAATCACAGATCCTCACCCTAACTCCTATTTTTTCACAATTAAGGTTTGTTGTTTATAACCACTAACTAAATATTTTAATCAAGCATTTCGATTTGCACATAAATTTTTCGTAGTGGTATTGGATCGTTGACTGAATGATGTAACGATATAGTTTAATTTGTTTCTTTGATGCAACTTAGTCTGTTCAAGAAAGCGAAAGCAATTAGAATAAGCTAATCATATTCTTCATCTTTTCTTTCAATTTTACGTTTCGACGAAACGAGAACGCTACAAATATTTTTTTCGACGAAACAGGAACACTGGGAAAATAGCTATAGAAAAATTTTCGACCAAACAAGAAAATCAATTAAGCTTTCGACGAAACTAGAATTCACCCTTTCGTCGAGAGTATTCTGTGCGAATTTTTTTTAAATATTTGAAAAGAGTTGACTTTGATATTTCAATTCAGTGTACTCATTTTAATCAGTGGGCTTGAGGAAAATTAGACAAACAAAAGCTTTAATCAATGTCCTATAAAGTGGTGAAAAGCTTACGTAAATCATTTGAATTGTTATAGGACTACTGAAATATCTCTATCTGACAGAATTTTTATATACTCGCTCAATCTTTCATCTACATTAAGACTACAACAAATGAAACAAAAATCACATTTGTCTTTTCTAATATTCAGGCAAGTCTTACATTGGTGGTGCTCGTCTTTGTCTAACAGCTTCTAAAGCACTTAGCAATGATACATTCTATACGGCTCAACCATGGATCTTTTGCCGAATTATTTCCAATATAAATCAGACTGTAGGTCAAACAGTTCGTGTCAACATTGAACTAACCAAAGCAATCAATCGAACAGAAAGTCTAGATGAAGATGGACAAACAACTTATAGTGGTGTGTGGATACCAAGAATGATTGCTGAAAGTACGAATGACGAGATGACTTATGATCAATATGGTTCTTATATTCGTTACTTAGCTACTCATCAAACAGTTCAAGTCACATTGAAAGAAACTGCATTTTTCATTATGAATATTCAACAACCGATCACACGAAAAGGCGAAGTTATTTTCAAAGATATACTTTTTTCTACGATGTGTCTTGAATTTTTTGCTTTTGCATTTCTTCTATTCAAACTAGCTATTTTACCACTACTTCAACGTTTAGCTAAAAAATTTCATCGATTTGATTTCTTTAGAAAACGTTTTGAACAACAACATTTATCTGAAATCGCACTTTCTCGATTATAAACTGTACTGTTCGATTATTTTGTTTCTCTTCTGCACTATATTTCAATAGTAGTGCTTGGACTTGCATTATTTGTTGATCTATATATATTGATATAAAATTTGTCAGTACAATCTTCATAGAACTCAAATATGAAATACGATGAAGCCATTTTATTTGAGAGTGCTGGGTGTCGGTGTAGATTGAAGATGGGCACGGTTCGAGTTTTTCAAAATTTAAACTGAACCGAAGCCAAAATATTCAAAACCGAACCAAGGGAAATTTGAAAAAAGCTGAACCGAACCGAACCGAAAATGAAATTTTTTTAAAACACATCTAACAGTAAATAAGACTCTAATCTTCATTTCAACTTAGGTGTCTAAGCCAGAGATGAGCATAGGACAGGATGGTTCTGTTATCCTGTACTGCCGCTCATCAGAACAAAAAAGGTAGCAGGATAAAAACAGGGCAGGACAAGATCCTGGTTTCTCTCCTCCTTTGCCGCCCGTCAGAACAGAAAAATATGGGTAAAAAAATGCCTTGTCCTGTGCTCATCTCTAATATTTTTTTCTGGAAAATACTATAAAATGGATTGGTTAGAAAATATTAACTGGTGACATTCTCCTTGTAAAATGAAAGTAAAAGTAAAACTCTCACTCTAGGTACTTTACAACCTGTGAAAATTGATCTAATTGACAGAAAAACTGCAGAAATCGTGACTTCTTGTCCTCCCGCCCGCCAGAACAAAAAAATTAGCAGGACAAAAACAGGATAGAACAAGATTTTTATTTTTATTTTGTCCTGCCACCCGTCAGAACAAAAATGTCGACAGGACAAGACGAGGGTGTGGGTGTGGGTGTGCGTATGGGTGTAGGTGTGAGTTTGAATTAAGGTCAGAATCACACTCATACCCACACCCACACCCTCACACCTAGGGGTGTCAATTTATATTTACTTTTAATTTAATTTACGCGTAAAT